ATTCTGCGTTGGGTGCGAGATTGTTATCTACTATAAACCATGCTAGTATTTTGCTAAAGCCAGTATAACAAAGAAATGAAATAATTTACTGTTTCAATGACTTACTCAATGTTTGATGACTGAAGAGCTTTCTTCTTACAAGAGGTCCCACAAAAATGTCAACAACATCCTTCAGTTCTCCGCCACCCAGAGCTTTGCCATAGTAAGCACATATAAAAACATCAGGTTTGATTATCATTTTTTATCTGTACCATTTTTACTACAATTGTAGAAGCCAAAATAATAAGTATCTTTTTAATATACTGTGCCCAGTTAGTTATTTGTCAGAAGTAGTAAAATATGGTGTGATATCAATGCACGTTCACTTCTGAACAAAATTTCAGCCTTGAGAACATTAGCTTTTCTAGCCAAACCTTCTTTCATACTTATCACTGAAACATGGTGCTCTTAAGCAGTATCTAATTCAGAATTAAATATCCAGAACTATCGACTCTATCGCTGCGACAGAGAAACTAGGCGAGGATTTGGTTGCATTATATATGCTTTGGATACCCTAACAACTAATAAAGTTGAAGATAGTGTTCTGAATAGTTTACCAGAATCACTCTGGATATCAGTCAACACCCTGAATCATAGTCTACTACTTGGATGTATATACAGAGCTCCTGATAGTTCGAATAATGGGAATGATCTTATTATCAATGCATTCATACATGCATCTTCTCTAAACTTTAATGCTAAGGTTATCACTGGGGATTTCAATTATCCTGAGATCAACTGGAGTACCGGTAGTTGTCAGTCATGTAATGATGAGTTCTCGGCAACCATTAACATGCACTGTTGGTCACAGTGGGTTCGTACCCCAACTAGAGGTGATAGTATACTTGATCCAATATTTAGTAGAGATGTTATCCCACTATCTGTAAAAGTATACGGTGAATTTGAAAGCAGTGACCATAAGATAGTAGTTTGCGTTCTCCCTATCTATCTCTCTTATAACCCACTCATTCAAAAAACCTGTAAATATAGAGACTATAAGCATGCTGACTGAGACCTCCTGCATTCACTGATTAAACTTTCAGACTGGGATAACTTTTTTTCATGTAATAGTCTCATGGATGCTGTCGACGAATTCTATCTGATCATTAACTCTTGTTTAGATTCCTGTGTGCCTCTTAAAACGTACAGGTTTAGTAAACCATACGAATTATATATACAAGCTAAATATCGTAATAAACTAAGACGCCTACAGAATCGTTATTTTAAGTCGAACGACTTCACAGCAGTTGCACATACAACAATAATTTTTAATCAAATTAAAGAGAAACATAGGTTAAAAGCCATTACTGAGGAGCTGTTAGCACTTAATACTAACTCGAAAGTATTCAAAATTGCATCAGCATGGAGCTTAACAAGGTAGCACAGTGGTGCTTAAAATGGCAACTGGAGCTTAATAGGGCTAAATGTAGATGGATATGCTTCGGCGATACATCACTCAACCTAGACATTACCATAAATGGAGAAGTGTTATCTAGGTTACATAGAGTAGTAGACTTAGGACTTAGATATTCCCAAGACTTGTCGTTTACAGAACATATATTAAAACAGACCTCTAAGTCTCAACGTTTAATAAGTCACATAACTCGGAATCTTTACAACACTGAGTCACGTATTCTAATGTACAAAGTTTGTGCTCGACCTCTTCTAGAATATTGCACGTTTATTCTTAGCAGTGCGCTCATAAAGGATAAATTAAGGCTGGAATCAGTACAGAGACGATTTACACTTCGTATTCTTGAAGCTGATTGTACCTTAACTTATAATTGTAGATGTAATAAACTTGGGTTAGACCCTTTATGGAGGAGGAGACTCAAACTAAATCTTATCTTTTTCTCCAAGCTACTTCATAAACTATCGTTTACATCCAATCACGCGATTCAATATGCAGAAACTTCTCATTATAACATCTGTAATTCCTTGGCACTAGTGAAACAAACTCATTCTAAATCATCTCTTTATATGAATTACTCCACCTGTAACTTTTCTAGACTATGGAATAACCTACCACAATCTATCCGCACGATAAAATCACCCCCATTATTTGTTCACTGCATCGATGCATACTGCTCCTCTGAAAATGCATTGAATGGTCTAGCACCTGTAAGTGTATCTCATTCCACAAGTGATATTTTAGGAACTTTAAATGATTAGCCATCTTTATTAGTGAATACCCTAAGTAAAACCACCCACTTGCTGTCAATATGTTAACGCCGTCCCTAGCAAATTTAACTAATTTGAATAACATCAACAGTATATCACTGTGTCACATGACACACGCATTTAGGTAGACCTGATTCATATATTTTGGTAATTACTGCTTTTTTGTTCCGTGCTCTCTGTTTTCGTTTTAATTTCTTCAGTCGTAGATAATTATCATTAATTCGATCTGGCACACGGATTGACCTTAATTACACCGTTCATAGATCAACAGGCTGTCCATTTAAGAAATATTAAAAATTCCCGGCTGATGCATTGGATCGCTGTAATATATGTCCTACTTAAACAACTACTGAACTAGTATACTTAAAACTTTCTTTTATCACATGTTTGTTCTGCATGTTTAACGTTACTATTTATATCAAATTGATCATGCCTGTAAGCTGGCGTGAATTCTGTAATTATTCTTTTGAGAATATAAATTATTATTATTATCATAATCAGCTAGTAATCATTTCGTTACGTCATGTTAGAAATCGAAATCAGTGACATACGATGAAATATAGTTGCCATAAAATATCATACTAAATAATTCTATAGAGCATTAAAATAGTGAAACATCAATATTTTACTCCAATTTCAATGGTGAAGATTTTGTTTATGCTGAAAGTGTACCACTTAATCTAAGTATTTTAATGTCCAATTTTACATTGATACACCACAAAACCGAAACAATTTTATTCACTATTAATGAAGATTATAAATTTCATTTATATGGCTGGATTTGTCTGTCCAAGAAAAAAAACGCAGAAATATCTTACTGGAAGCACTTTAAAGAAAATACAAAAAAAACATTTGTAGTGTATTTTTATCAAACCATTCACTTTTGTTAAATATTTATTGCTAGCCAACATTAAATTTCAGTGAACTTGGTTTTTACTTAGACTAAACCATTATTTTCTTAACAACAAAAAAACTGAAATTTTTTAGGATAAATCAGTTACAAACTTTATGCAACATTTTTGATAGGTCTTAATTATACGGAAATTCATTTTAAACCAACAAAGATATACAATTTATACGAATATTCGTCAAGATTAGAACGAATAGTTTGACAGTAATTGAGCGCCGAGTATAGAGAAGTCATTATATGTGAAAATTATATTTGAAATATTCTCAGCGATTGAAATTTAACTAATTCCAACGTTTCGTCCAGCTAACTTGTCTGGACTTCTTCAGGGTAATAATCAAAATCAAAATTATCAAAGAAATATATAGCTTTTAACAATCAGGATTATACTGTGTCAAACCAATCATATTTGGGTGTTGATTTTTTGTAAAATAGGATAAAATGAGTCAGTTGACTACAAATCATGTGATGAATTCAACTACATGGAAATACTTAACTGAGTAACAAATCGTATGTGTGTGAGTGTGTATGTATGTATGCATGTGTGAGAGCTATATATTTCTTTGATAATTTTGATTTTGATTATTACCCTGAAGAAGTCCAGACAAGTTAGCTGGACGAAACGTTGGAATTAGTTAAATTTCAATCGCTGAGAATATTTCAAATATAATTTTCACATATAAAGATATACAATGAATTCATTTTTATCGGAATGGGTTTTGCGGAGATTTTTAGAAATTTCACTGGTTGAAATCGTGAGACAATTGAAGCTAGACCACCATAGAAAACCTGGAAGCACTGGACGGCCGTTTCGTCCTAGTGAGAAGCCGTTACCAGTGGAATTAATACAGGTCTGTTGTGAGATAGGAACTCATTGAAGCCAACGGTGTACGGTGGTGCAACTTCGTGGATTGGTTGAAGTTAGACATTAACACCGTCGGATGCCGGCTCAGTGGTCTAGTTTATTAAATGCTTGGGGCGAGACTGATAGGTCCTGGGTTCGAATCCCGCGGGGAGTGGGATCGTGGATGCGCACTGCTGAGGAGTCTCATACTAAAGCGAATCAGCCGTTCAGTGCTTCCAGGTTTTCCATGGTGGTCTAGCTTCAATTGACTCATGATTTCAACCAGTGAGACTTCATTTTTATTGGTAAATAATTTTGACTGACCTGAATTAGTACAACTAATCATAGTGTTGTTAGTAAATTCTGTGAAAAAGATACTGCCAACCATTGATTTGTATAGTTTATGAGAAAATTACAAGGGTCTTATTAGTCTTAATTAGATTTAAGATTTTCAATAGGAAAATGTACTAAGATATTTTGAGTATTTGTTATTAAAATAAAAGAATAAACGTACAACAGTTCCTTGATATTTCGTCTTGTGATATAAGTGACAAAGAAAGAAGAAACAACATTAAAACAATAAAATATTAGTTCCTTTAAAAAAATAATAAGTGTCCGGAAAACCTTGAAGAAAAATTTGTTCAGAATGTATTTGATCCGAATTTTAACGATCAAAAGTTTGACCTTTGGAATTAATCTAAAAAGTCGCGCCATTAATATTGTTACCTTTTAAGATGATGTAATATATTTTTGCAGTTAATTTTGAATGTTATTAGAATGCTTACACAAATCACCTTTATAATTGGAATATAAAATAGAATTATGATGTGTATATCAAATAAGTCACCTGGAAACCATTTGGAACAATGTTTTTAGTTGAGATTTAAAAGAAGGTTAGTAGCCGAGGTCACATAACTGTAATATAACAGTAGAGAAAGTCAATCGCTGATCTGCACTAGAAAAGAATCGATAAAGTTTCATTGTTCTGTTTAAATGATTGTACTTTCTTTTCTTCATCTCGTTATTAAGGTTCTAGTGAATTTGGACAGTTTGTGAAATCGGATTATAATGAAATAAATTCATACCCTGGTTCTTTACTTCTACAAAGAGCATCTACGAGTATAACACTTAAACAAAACGAATCAGATCCACGACGACCAGATGAATTTTTACTGGAAGGTGACAACAATCTCAGCATCATCAATAACAATAATAATCAAAGCAACAAAGAAATTGAAAGTAACATATCACGCTTCAATGAGTATAAGTCGGTTAAAAGTAATGTGTTAATTTCTAGTAACATGAAATTATCTCCTCAAAAACCTGTAGCAGAACAACAAATTGTAAATGTAAATGAAGCAGAACTAGCTTATGGTATGTGAATTTTCTTTATGTCCTGCTCCTAATTTTCTTTAAAAGTTTATTTAATTTCTTTGTGTATACCTCAAACTCATTCGTGCATATTTCCGTACCACCATTACAACTATTACTGGGAGGTAATAACAGTGAAATCATAAACAAATATGACTAATATAACAGTCATTATAGTCACAGTTTGAGTTATATTAATGCTAACACAATCGATATAAAAGAAAGAAAGAACCACAAACGATTTTGAATATTCGTGTGTCTAACAATGTATACAAATCAGGTTTGTGACAAGATATTAAACACAAAAGCAATTAGCAAAACAACATGACGATCGTTTTTGTTAAAATGTAAACTGACTTATTTTTGAAGTGAATGATCGTGAGATATATATTTAGTAAGACTGTTACTTATTAACCCGCTGGTTGTTCGTTGTCAGTAATGTACACAATGATCAGCTGATAGGCACACTAGATCGATACTACGTGATTCCTAAGCGGTAGGATTTTTATATCAAAAAGACTGTCACTGTTCCAGCATTTCAGGATCGAAAACTGTATCGAATAAATTTGAGAAAACATTTTTTGACTCCAATCAACTATCATAGTATTCAGGCTTTATCGAAAGAACTTTTACTTGGATTTTTCTTGGACCATTCAAAAAGTGGACACCCCTAAGTAACTTGTCAAAACTGAAGTGTGTAAGTTAATGCGACTCAAAATCAAGTTATTTCAGCATTAAATATAACTAAGAACGTGTTTTTGCATCGTACCATAGAGTACTCCTTCATATTTTCTGATCGACTCTTTTAATATTTGTACTGATGACATATATATGGATGTCATAGAATATTTCTAGAACAGTACTTTGGTACTTAAGAATTCAACTCAGTATTTAACAAAAGGATTTAAATTTGACCTTGACCTCAATATGCCTAACTAATTCCCCGTCACTTGCACCAAAGCGTTCGAACTCCTACTGCATATATTCTATTAGATCAAGTAAATAGTGAATTGCTATACATTTTTCATCTTATATGTTTCTTCAGATGTAATCATTTTCCATCAGTAAACTTAGTCATGAATTGCATACTTGCGTAATGCTTGAATACTACGATACAAAGTGGGAAAACAACAAAAGGCTGTCAACTAATGATAAGAACAATAAATTTTATTCTTAAGTATATGTATTTTTGAATGATGAAAAAAACGGTATTAGATCTCACTAGTTTATCATCTTCAGTGTCAAACAGTTACAATATGTTTCTATATTCATGTTTATTGCTTCATATTTTAGAACAACATAAACGAATGAATCCTAGACAGAAAACCATGCGTTCTAATCAGAAAAGTCCAGGATTTCTTACTGAAGATTATCCACAAACATCCTTTACTGGCGATTATGGCTATGAAAGTGAACCGAAACCATTTACTTGTACAGATGAAGTAAAATCTCAAAAATTATTTCCAGGTTATAATCCAAAATCATTTTCATCAGGTATGTTTATTTAAAAATAGTTTCAATTTATGGTTATATGAGATGTAATAATTGAAAAAATACCACTTTGTAGGATCAGTACTGAAAATTATTTTGGAACGGTGAAATCAGACTTACTTTTTCTTCAAATTAATTTATAGTTGTCATTACAGAATAAGGACATCAAAAGAGAACAATATGAAATACAAGATATTTGAGTGTTAAAATGTTTTATGATTCTTTATTTGATTTATTTTCATCATTAACTGAAGGGTTCACCTATTCTTACTGGAACCAGAAAGTTCTAAATGAATATTCACTTGGTGTTGTTTACTTGTATCTTCCAATTTTTATTTAGGACTGCAATTGATTAGTCTCTTGTTGGCACATGTGCATCCTGTGCGGACGGCCTCGATATTGCCTGAAGTCACAAGCTTTATAAGTCCTAAATAAAAATCGTAAGATACAATTAAACAACACCAAGTGAATATAACTTCACCCCATTGAACAAGCAGGTGGCCATCAGGAATCAGTAGCTAAATGCATAAAGTAACAGCGTTTGAAACGAACGGTACTAGGTTCGAGTCCCGGGGTGAACATCAATTCCGGTACATCCAGATGGTGAGTCCCAAGTACAACGAGCCGAGCATCCTGGATTCCACTGCTAGTCATTACCCATCTTCGATTTAAATGAATAGTTGTAAGGTGTAAGGTTTTTATGATAACCTTGTTTTCATTTTTCTTAAAACGACAATTGTTAAAGATGGATAAGTGGATCGAATTTCAGCATTGTAACAGACTCTCAATTCATATCATCTACAACATTTTCTGATGTCTTTCTTATCCATGATCTTTCAATGGTTATAGTTATATTTTTTTGACATCCATTCATATCAATGTACAAAGTCATAAAATAATAAACGGCATTCAATGATATCAATTTAAAATAAACCAGTGATTTCAAACATGAATTCAGTTCTTTTATTGGTCATTTTATCCACAATTGTGTATAATAACTGACACATATCATTTTTATAATGATAACCTTTAATGTGCCGGTCAGTAATAGTAACAATTTATCAAACAAATTAATAATGAGTTATGATAAACTAAACAATATTTCTATAAACAGATCAAATTCAGTTCAATAATTATTAAAATGAGCAGAGTAATTTAGTCAGAAAGAGCACGGAAAGAAAAATAAGTAGATTGAATAGCATGGTTTTCACAAGATTTAGAGATCTCATTTCATTACAATGACATGTTTAATATATAAATGGGTGCTTCCAATTTATAACAGTATCAGCTAATATTTGTATAACTGATTGAGTCATACAATTAAATATGTGAGAATTCCAATTAGATATTACACATGTCCACAGACTTTATAAACAAAGATGGATAGTGGCTAGTAGTGGAATCCAAGACGGATGTTTTATCCCCTTTTGGACTCGTCATCCGGATGTACTTGCATCACAAAGTTGACTTTCAATCCGGGACTCGAACTAAGTACCGTTCACCTCGGATGACATCACGCGTCCTGGATTCCGCTGCTAGCCACCACCCATTTTGCTTATAATGCTTGTGACTTTAGACAATATCAAGGCAATTCGTACAGGGTGCACATATGCCAATAAGAGATTGATAAATTGAAGTCCCAAACATCACTGGTAAGATTAAAAAACCAATACAAAATTAATATTTACAGACCTGAATGATTCAAATGGGAAAATCAACGAAACATTCCAATATCCTAAATGCAACAACGAAAATATTTCATGAAACCAAATTTCGTATACTTGTTTTTAGTTACTATTCAATAGAATAAATGTAACTGATTTCTATACATACTCGTCCAAATCTGAACGAAGAGCTTGATAGAGTTTAAGTGCATTTCTATAGACATTAGATATAAAATTATAGTCTTAATCAAATTACCAATTAAAGAACACTTACAATTATATTCAGTCAAAGCAAAACAAAATATGATGGTTAATTGCTTCAAATATTTATATTTAATGCTGTTTATCTATTGAATTGTTCAGATGATCTTAGATCTTTTAAAATGACAATTTGATCATTAAACCAAGTGACTTAATATTATTAACATTTGGAATAACCTACATACTCTTTAGTGTTTATCAATCTTTATTCTGATGATTGTTAGTTGTTGTTTGTTTTTTCTTTCATGGTAATAATTGACACATTCAACAAGTATGAACGTATATAGTTCATGTATAAGAAAATGGTTATTTTATTTACTCTTATTTGCATTTTGTAGCAATAAGAAATTCCCGCGAAAAAATGAATGCATCCAATCGAATGAAGATGATGTCAATGGAAGAAACTGAAGATGATGATGCTGAAGGAGTTAATAACAATAATAATAACTATTATATTCAAGAAAATGATAATTATCAAGGACAAAATGCTTATAATACAAGTTATTTACGTTGGAATAGTTCAAATCCAACAATCTCACAAAAATATGCTTATAATTTAAGTTCAGCAAGTCGTAAACCATGTTATAATGATGTAATGTCACAGTGTCCTACACAAACAACAAACTTAGAAGATACAGCAAAAAAGAGTAAGTTATGTATGATTTGCATATTGTATTTATAAGACAGTTTTATAATAATTTCAATTTCAAAATAAGGACACATTAGTAATCAGTTAGAAGACCCGTTTATCCATATATTTAAATTACTGACCTATTTATTCATTCTAAAATAAATGGTAACCAATTATATCAGTCTTTTAAAGCCATCGATATCACTGAGCGACACGTTTGAAGAGTGCAGAACAGTGAGACATGAAAAATTGTGCATTTAACACAAATTAGGTATAAATAATAAATCTAAGCTACAGTTGTTCTACTGTTATTTAATGCTGAAAATCAAATATTAACTGAATTATTATGAATATGGGGAAGAAAATATGAAAATCAATCTAAATGGCCTAATAAATGATAATGTATTGTGAAGTTGAATACAGTCATCCTATGTTAATCATATTTTATTGAGATCATAAATCGGTCAACGTCAGATCACGATTGAAAACCTGGAAGCAATGGACGGCCGTTTCGTTCTAGTATGGAACTCTTTAATGATGGTAATTCATTGATCAGTTTATGGTCTTAATAAAAACACTACAATTTTCACAACCACACACTGATAATTATCGTGTGATCACTAATGACTAACCTTGAGAGATAGTTCTCGTAGTTCCAGTGCAAAGCCGTGACCAATGGAGTTCAACCGTGTAAAGTGAAGCAGTTACCCACCGAAGACAATGGAAGATGGTCCCATAATATCGTGGGTTGGTTGAAGTTAGACAATGATACTGTTAGATGCCGTCTCAGTGGTCTTGAGGTTGAGCGTTGACACGTGATCAGAAGTCCTAAGTTTGAGTCCCAAACGCGTGATTGTGAATGCTCAGTTCTGAAAAGTTGGACACTAGAACGAAACAGCCGTTCAGCGCTTCTAGGTTTTCAATTGTGATCTAACATTGATTGATTCATGATCTCAATGAAATATGATCAACATGGATTGAGAGAGATTATTAGGAAATATTCGAAGATTAAGATACTTCCACAATATTGTTATACAATGAATATAATAATTATAACATTTAGAAGCGTCACGTTGAAGCTTTTTATGAAATTGTCTAAATCTCAGTCTATTCCTCAATATAACGTTTACATTAAATAGGAAAGAGAAATGAGTCATCACATATTATCTAACTTTATAGTTATTTCAATTAATTAAACTCAAAAAGCCAATCACGTCATAATGAATGTCCATAAAAGAACAGAAAAGTAGTCTGCTAAAGTAGCGGACGGCAATCATACTTCTGTGTTTTCATGTGTGAAATAATTTGTCTTCTTATTACGGTGGTAGTTAGTTGTTAATTATAGACTGTTTACTTATTGTTAAGATTTATATCTGAGTAACAGTAAATACACAGAAACCTCTGAAATTGATGAAGTGGATTGGTTGAATTTAGGCATTAACACTGTTGGATGCCCACTCAGCAGGCTGAAGGTTAAGAGCCAGCGCTCAAGACCGAAGGTCCTGGTTTCGAATCCCGAGCACTGCTGAGGAATACCATACTAAAACGAAACAGCAGTCCAATGCGTCCTGATTTTCCATGGTGGGCTAGCTTTAATCAACTAATGAATTCAATTATTAATATAGAATTATGGGAATAATTTACAGTGGATAAGGAGACTTAAAATATAGTGAATTAATTTCATTAATTAAACGTTCCTTTTTTCGCCTTATTTGAACATATAGTTTACGTTATTCGAAGTAAATCATCAAATAAATAAGATAGGAGAATGACAATTAAAAAATGTTGAAATATATTATCAAAAATGGTAACGATTACCATATTCTAGATTAGATCAACAATTGTTAGTGAACAATAATAATTAAATTCGATTGTCATCAGGCATTATGACGTTTAAGGAAATCATATATTTTCAACCAATATTGACATCTGATCTGATGTCTTACTAAAAGAATAGAAAAATTGTGCTGAAAGGATACTATAAAGAAGGAGTTGGAGTTTAACAGTAATATAATGACGGAAAAATGCTACCTGAAAGCTTTTAAAAAAGTATTTGTTTACAAGGGAGATATGAGCCGCTCAAAAGAAACCTCTATTCTTGAAACTTTAATTCAACTTGGATGTGGCTAACAAAGTCCTGCATGATAGATTGGTGGGAGCATCTTAAGGGAAATTTTATACAACTTATCTTAGATCAGCAGTTTCTAAAATACCGATGATGTTTACTCAAACAAAGGATAAGTTGCCGGAGTCGGACTCTTTGAGAAGTATCTACAACATTAGCTGCTGAGATAGCTATACTTGGATTACTAACAAGTAACTGAACCAACGAATGAGTTAATATCTCTTTACTTAGTTTGTAAAAGATCAGGTAAAATAATAAGCAGTTCCAAATTGGCACATTTAGTCGTATGGTTAAAAAAAACCAAAACGTTTTAATCGATCTAACGTTTACCTTCGTCATTTCCAAATGTGCTTTGACCCGGTTTCTTATATACAGCAGAAGCTATAGGGATTTCAATCCTAGTAAATGTCTTCTCAGGAGATTCGTGTCACCTCTGTCCCTTCCTTGACCGGATATGTCTTAATAAACGACTTTATTAATTTCTCACATCAGGTATTTGCATGTCATTTTCCATCTTTTCCCATTTATATTCTTCATTATCTAATTATTTACATACTTCTTACTACTTGACTTAATAAGGTTATGTGATTATTATTTTAAAGTCTATTTATCCAAGTTTGAGCTAATTCCAACGTTGAACTGCTAATCGGAACTTTTATTGTTTTATTACTATTATCAATAAAATAGACCAACTTCTCACTGTCAATTTTTTTATTTTTCACCCAATTACATTTAGTTGTATAATCTACTCCATAGTCATTATTGACTCATAAATTAGCCTAGTTTCATATTTTTCTATACCTCCATAAATATCAATGCATATCAGAGTGAAGCAGGATAACAGACTAACTGGAAACAATATTGTTCCTAATTTAGATTTCCAAAGAGCTGGAAATGTTTCCAATCACTTGTGATGTATTGTTGTCGGATATACATATTTTATCAATTTAAATATCTTTTTATCAAACATCAGTTCAGGAAGTGATATCATCTAGATAACTAATAGATAATTACTAGTTTTCATGGCATTAGGCATCTTTCCTTCAATTTCGTAAACTTTTTTTATTAAATTAGAGATATTTATCCTCATGACTTGTTCTACCTTGATAATCTGTTACTCTTCTTATAACTTTCAACTAAATTTTGAAAATGTTACATCATCAATAAAACTGAAACCGTTTAATTCTAATTAATTCATGTAAAATAAATTGAGCTATCTTCATAAGTCTCTATTTTATATTTATCAGTTTTAAGGTTTTAACAACTCTAGTTCAGCTGTATACACGTTCATAAAGGAATATTCATGAAAATAATAAATTATATAAATAAACAAACCATGTAAATTACAATATTCATTGATTTATAGTTGTTATGTCTTGTCGTTTGAATGCTACTTGTTATATCTGGTCCTCGCTGATTATTAAGTTGGAAACGCTTATCACTTATACTCGGAACAAGGGACCTCCGCGATTCCCACGACGCGAAAATAAGAACACAAGGACTGGTATAAGTGAAGATTTATTGACCCCAAAACACGATTACGACGACCAGATATAACAAGTAGCATTCAAACGACAAGATATAACAATTGGCGACGGGTTGAAAAAAAATTTCTGAACCCTCAATCTTCAAAAAAAGGAGAGGAGGTGATATGCAGGAAAGAAAAGTCAAAGTTTGATTTAATAATTATGAGCTTTGTTCAACATTACTTCCGTTTTGATTAAATGTAATATTGAATACAACTCATAATGAGTAAATCAATCTAAAAGTGACTTTCCTTTCCATCATATCAATAATTATCTAGAATATTTAGATTTGATTGCAACTTCTTAATTTTTTTACTAATTAGCAATAATCATTTTCATTTTCAAAAAAAAGAAAAATACAAAAAAATACAATCGATTGGTTACTATGGTATGACGACTGATCATCATATTTTTTTTAATATTCTTTTGTTGCTAACATAACTAAGAAACTTCATCTATAATGAACTAATATTTATCCATACAAATTAAGCTTATTATTATTTCTTTTGTTACTAAACATGATTCAAAGTAGATAAATATTTAATCAATATATTGATTTAGTGAAAAAAAAGCATTTTAATTGACAGTTTTAATTAGTTTAAGTTGAAATGAATTAATTTAAATAAAAACAAAATATACTACTTTTGATAAAGATAATTTCGTATTATTTTATGATTAATTTATAAACAAATTAATTTTAACTGATTGATAGTATTATGGAATTTAAGAAAACTCTATTGAAAATGTAATTAATTCATTAGATCAAATTGAATAATTTATTGAACACTTACTTACTTACTTACGCCTATTACTCCTCGTGAACGAGCATAGGCCGCTGACCAGCATTCTCCATTCAACCCTGTCCTCGGCAATCCTTTCCAGCTCCTTTCAGTTGTTATTCATCCTTTTCATATCCGCTTCAAATTCCCGACGTAATGTGTTCTTTGACCTTCCTCTTTTTCTGTTTCCTTCAGGATTCCAAGTTAGGGCTTACCTCGTGATGCAGTTTGATGATTTGAGTAATGTATGTCCTATCCATAGAACAGGTTTTATAAAAAATTTATTGATTTATTAAAAATAAAAAAAAGAAGAATGAAGATCTTTTAGTAAAGAAGGTTTTTTTCTTTGTTGGGGACGTTAGATCCCCAAAACTCATATTTTTTCATTTTATCTTTGTCGACCTTATATGCAGATGTATGCTTGGGCATTTCTTATCATCCACACACATAGTCGATTGACGAACTTATCGATTAAATGTTTAAAAACTTCCATGGCAATATCGATTATATATATTTGTATAAATACACTTGATTTGTTTGCTTGAGGAACTTGGTATCTTCTGGTTGTCTGTAGAATACACTTACT